ATATATATATTAAAATTCTTTTGAGAGAAAAAAATGAATACTTAAAATAATTACAGTTGTGCTTTAGAAAGGCATTTCCTTTTCGTATTCAGTTGAAATGCATTTTGTATAATTCATGCATATTTTTTATTATACATGAATGTTATATATTATTATAAATGAAAAAAAATGTTCGTACAGATATCGAATTGTAAATATTGAAATTGAATTGTAATGATCGATATGTTATATTTTACTGACGTATTAAATTAAATTAAAAGCCATTAATAGCAATTTGCATTTGATAAAAATATATATGCCACTTCAAAATCATTCTGCCCAATCAAATAAAAATTAGAGATAAAATTCAAATATTAAAGATTGATTTAACACTGGTTATAAATTTAAATAGCTTTATAAAAGAATCATATTTTTTTTGCAATATACCTTCCAGTTTCCATTTTTCTACACAAACATAATTATAACAATACATTGCTTCGCTTAAGTTTTACAGTGTTTTTAGAGAAATTTAGAAACGATTTTAGCGATAACTCGCATTTCCAATGTTTACAAGTCTCAATGATTAATTCAAGCCTCGCGCAATAAATGTAAATCAATATTCAACAACAGCTGATCAGTCGATAAACAAATATATCGTATATATTAATTGTGAATCGTCGCGTTAATTTAAAATTTGTCGACAATAAAATAAAAACAAACAAAAAACGGACCAGGCATGTAAAGTAAGCATGTGTTGATCAGCTGTAATAGAGTATGTAATATCTTACTCCAAAAAAAAAAAAAGGAGGGAAAAAAGATATCTTGGTTACTAAATGCATGCAATTGCAACACGCGACAGAAAGTATGTATGTATGTATGTATATCGATAAGATGCTTACATATTTCAAACAGGTACTCACAATTGATGTTGCAGCGTCAGCATAGCGGCGTTTTCGGGTAAAGGAACGCGGCGAGGACGACACCGCGAAGAATACACATTCGCATCCAGGATATACTGGTGACCTACGGGACGTGTTTAGCCATGGATGAGATGATCAACGGCCGGCGACGGCCACGGCGAACGCGCGTTTGAAACGTTTGCATCCGGCTGATCGCACTTGCGCGAAAAGTCCGCTAACCGAACGACACTCTCGCGTGCGAGTAAGAATATACGGATAACGTACGCGGTCGCGGTCGCGCTCACGCTCGATGAACCGCCGCGTCTCGCTTTGACATAATATATCTGCTAGCTGACCCCGCGACTGGCTCTCAGCTCTCACTAGCTGACTAGCTCCGCTCTCGTGACGAGAGTCTCGTCGATTCGTTCGCTCGATCGCGGCGCACAGCAACGGCAGCGCTCGCTACGACGGATTCAGGCAGACTGGAGAAGGGAGAGGGAATAGGGAATGTATAATCGCGATCGCGACGTCGCGTGTATAACCCTACGTTCTGACGTTAGGCGCTCAACAGCGCTCAATGATGGTCATTGGGAGAGCTCCGATAATTTATAGCGAATTCATGGTTGCCTCTGCGCGTTAAAGGCTGTTATACATGAAATTACTTGAATATGAGACTATCTAGAAGGATTTGCATAGTCGTATAAATATATCCATAAGGAAATTGATCGGTTCATAAAAATGTATAAGGAAATGGACCAATTAATTTCCTTATGCATACGTTTATGCGACTATGCAAATCCGTCTGGATAGGCCCTATGTCATAAGCATAAGCACTTTGAAATTTTGATGAAATAACCGATATATATTTTATTACATAATACGATAATCACTCAGAATTTTTTTCGATAAAGGATACGCATTTGGCGGTACGTAAATTTTGCTCCTTTTGTTTCGAAATATTTGTGAAGTCAAGTGAAGTGCATCCAGGGTCATCAACCAATCAGTATGTACAACGAAAGAAATATTATTCTAAGAGTAGTGATTAGTGATTTGATTGGTCGACATTGCAAAATAATTTCGAAACCCTAGAAATTCTCTATCCGATAGCCAATCGTACGTCCGATAAATTTGTATACTACAAATTCAACACACATCACTTTTATCAAAAAAATTATATTTTTCGATTATCCGCTTCCGTTCTTCACAGACTGTCTTCAGTGCTTGATTTACCTATACTATATATGTTTATCTGATATTTATAATAGAAAACACAGAAAATTACACAACAGGGCAATAAGCATGTAACTTTTCATACATTTTTGATCGCAAAGAAAGGTTATATAATCATTGCCTTGGACAAATAAAATGATATACCATTATCCAAATTGTCTTTTTCCTTTGTAGAATTATAAATTAGAGATTTTTATCATGTATATATTATACTTGACGATTAATATATTATCATCGATAATATTAGATCTGAAAGATTAATAGAGGTTTATATATTATCTCTGTTATAGCGTTTTCGAATGAACGGGTTTTAACCCAACCTGGATCAATTTATTTTATTTTACTATGATTTCAAGTCTTATTGGCAGAGACGATGCAATAATGTCATTAATCGCTCTCAGAGCGATTAAACCTGCTACATTCGAAAACGCTAGTAATCATTTATATATGTGAACATATTAATTAATACAATGCATAATGTTTACTAAATTACACTAACATATCTGTTAGCGAAACCATTCTGTTTATGATAATGCATGATTTTGAATAATACTAAAAAAGTACATGTTGTAAATGTTATTATCAATGTTTTTCCTATTTTTGACATTATTCTTCAAAGTGGATGATATATGAATATACCAAAACAGATTTACAATTAAAAACAGCTAAATGTGCATAAAAATTAAAAAAATAATTAAAAACAGATTTAAAAAACTGTAATAATTTAGATGCAAATATCGCGCACAAAGTATGAAAGAAGATATAAAATCTAAATAAATTAAGAAGTTAATATTATTTTATATTAATTGATAATTCTCTTGGAAATAAAAAAACAATACAATTTTATTAAAGTGAAACGTTAATATAACCAAAAACAATAAAATTAATAGATAATAAATTATCCTGATTAATACTGTGTTGTGTGAGATATGTGATGCAGTATTGACTGTGTACAATAATTAAAAATGACACTTTTTATGTAGTTAATATTAATAATAATTATCATAGAACGAATTTTTTTTCTTAGAAAAATAAATATCTCGGTTAAACACAATTATTCCGTAAATGAGATAGACAATGTAACTATATTCGATAGAAAAATAAAAATATAACGTAATTATATAACATATATATGCGTATGTAATAATTTATATACGCATCCGCGCGCGCTCCAGTTATTTGCATCTATTTTTAATTAAAATATAATAAATTGTTTGATGAAAATGGGTAGAATGTAATATAAAACAAACAAATGCATTTTTTATAACACATTTTTCATTGTCTTATAAGTCTATGGTAATTAATAATTAATAACAAGAAAAAAAACCTTTTTCATCAATGTGTGTCTACAGTAATTATTAAAAGATACAATTAGCAAATTACTATGTTGTATATTCATTTTATGTAATAATAGGTAATAATATAATTGTAATATTTTTTCTCCGTAATCATAGCGCGATATCTCTCACGTGCTCAATCATTTCTACAAATATAATATGGTATCTAATTCTTTATTTCATGGAGATATGTATATATATATATAGTCGGTATATACATATATATATATATATATGTATATTATATAACCAAATACTAAAAATACAAATGTTTTGCATATAGTAGGTTTTAAAGTCATCAAACCTCATCCCAATCTGGTGATCTTAAAACACACATCCATATACATAATATAATATTTGCAGCTTTGCCTACAAAATTAAGGAGCTCGTCAAGCGATTATTAATAATATATAAACAGACATAAAGTGTGATCATTTATTATCGGCGTAATTCTCGTAGATTGCGCGGAGATGGTAGTATGTACTTTACATCCTTTACGAGAGAACCACAATATCAATACCAATTATTTATTGAGCTTTTCACACCACTTCTCCAACTGTGTTGAGTGCCAACAGCTATCCGTCATCTGATCTTTGGCGCATTATTAATTGCTCTTACACGCGCATATATATATATATGCGTGCATGTACACACACACATACAAAGACACACACATGTGATTATATAGCAGAGATACTTTAAAAGCTCCTTAATTATGCGAGCGCGCTAAATATTCGCTTATATTTAAGATATTCATATTTACACAAAGACCTCATCTTTGTTTATAGTCTATACAATCATATAAATGTAATATTCAATAATAAAATTGTAACATAATAATGCCTAGCATATCTATCTAATGTGAAAGAGAATATTTTACACATCAAAATTACAATATTTTTTCAATTATTCTTGTATATTCTGCAATATTAAATTACTATATATTACACTCGATCCTATTTATGTTATAGGATACGAATTAAATCAAACACGCAAGTCGTGTGTACCAATTTCTTCATAGTTTTATGTACAATCAGGTTGTAATTTCCCATCCGAGTAAAATAAGTATACTATTATGTACAATATATAGATCCAGCAATGTCTAATAGAAATAAATTCTGATAAACAAGCAATATCCTAATTAAATAACTTAAATCAATATTTAAAGTAGGACATAAATTCAACGAAACTATAACCCAAGAAGCAGTCTCTGTCTCTTAATTTGTTGGGTACAGATCGATGAAATTTTCTCCTATTTTAAATATCATTAAATTCGATATTTATTACTAGCGTGAGAGAAGCATTTTTCTATTAAAGTGCTGCCTGGTAGCCATCGAACCTTTGGGAGAAAAGTATTGATCAGAAAATTTGTATGCATACTATATAATTGAGCACTGCACTTATCATACTTTGTACATTCTATGCTTGTAACAATTGTAGCGCGCAATAATCTTTTTTTATTATGTAATAAATATTTACTTGGTCTGTGATAAAAAATCGCATATTTTTTTTATACAAAATCATATATTATACATATTCAAAAGTGATCTGATAAAATTGGGTCATGTAACTTTTAATCCACAATTTTTAACACACATATATTGACTATGGTATAATTTATAATCATAATCACACAGATGAGAATATTCTAAATAGAATGTATTTAGAATATTTATCTGAACGTACTTAAAGCTTTCATGAAAACTGTTTATAGAATATTTAACACAGATATTCCAAAGTTTGCAGAAAATTAAGAGGATATTTAAAGAAAGGAATATAACTAAGATAAATAATTAAAATTAATTAATTATTAATATTTATAATGAATAAAGTATTTACTAAGCAATATTCTAAATTTCTGCTGCTTGAAAAGAGAAATGTTAATTATCAAAACTCCATAATAGATTTATGAAACATTTGGACAGTGCTACATGATGATGACTACTCAGGCTCAGCTAGAACTTTAAATTCTCAACAACACACGCACAATACACACAACCACACACACACACACACACACACTAGCTTTCTCTTTCTTTCTGTCTCTCTTTCTATATATATATATATATATATATATGTGTGTAAGTTATATTTATACAATATAAAACTAGATTATCTGTTCACAAAAACAATAATCGATATAAATCACATACATAGATCTTGTGTATACGTATGCACATATAATTCAATATACTTCTAAATTTGTATAAGAAGAATAAGTATATTTTAATTACATGAACGCGAGAGAATAATTATAATAATAATGACAATTACGATTTTTATTTTTGCACGTTATATATACTTCAATTATTACTAATTTAATAAAAATTTAAACAGTTTTTATATATACACAATAGGGAGAAAGGGATGTGCTTTGTCCATCTTTACAAGAAATTATTTACAAAATATATTCATTCATATATTACCTATATCAAATTAACATTGTATTAATTAGTTTTCTTATAATAATTATTCTTATCATCTTCGCATATTTATACATATCTTCCAACGTTCACTGTGTGTATGTTCATATTTCATAAATAAAATAAATCTTTTTTAAAAGTTCTATATCCCCATTTCTGAATATTATATAACTCAAGACGAACTTTTCACTGAAAGACCATGTTTGATGAGTTTGGAAAATGAAAATGTACAATAATGTAACTACAAACTTAATTGCTAAGTTGTTGATTAAAGCAATATACACATGTTTCCGTAACTACAAACGTTAATAATACCTTTTACATTTGTCAATGTTCTTATTGCATCAATGTGTAAATTTATTATTCTCAATATTCAAAATGTAACAATTCTTGATATATCCAAAATATAATCATGTAATATATAATTATCTAAATACCAGACCAACAACTCAAAAAACGTTTTTATCTTTTGTATAGATAAGTACGAAAGTGTGTTATTACTTTGTATCTTGAACTTATAGCAAAAACTAATTCGTGCGGAAAATTCATATGATACTATTACTTTATATATATATGCACACTTTACTTACACATGCGCATACAAAAAACTTTTAGAACAAATAATGACACACAATAAATAAATATGTATACACAAATTAGACATGCTTAAACAGAGTCTATCAGCAAAGTCGTCAGAGTAGTGATTTATAAGCCCCACCAATTAATAAATTTATCCACATATTTATAAATATGTATTTTACTTACGGCAGTACAGTCAAATTCACGTTTTTGACACTTAAAAAATTTAGACTTTCTTTTACCGCTTCTATTTTGTAGTGATACAATGAACGAAAGAAATTACATGAGAGAAGATGATACCCGAAACATAAATAGTCCGAGTTTGAATTTCCTTAAATCTTTCTAAAGCTAACTTGAAGTTTCTTGTTTTTACATCTAACAGACGATAACGTTAGAAAATTGCACATCAAAGAATGAAATTTAGTTCTTGAGGATAGAATGAAACATCTAACTGGTAAAAGAAAGTTACATACAATGTCTCGGCAGTTTTGAGTTAGTTCAGTTACTTAGATTATAGTATATAATGCATTGTGAGCAAGTCAAATCTGAGTAACTAAACTTTGCTGTTTATAGGAGTACAACGTAAATGAAAACGCTAGACGGTGAAAGAAAAGAATAAAAGTAAATTGCTTTTATTTTGTTCGCTATTCTTAAACATTTAAGAACATAACAATTAATAATTAATGACTTATTAAATATACAAAACTCTCTTTAAATGTTACAACAATATAATTCTTATGATCTATGCTTTAGAGAAAAGAAAAAGACGAAAAGAAAGAGGAAAGAGAAACGTAAAGAACAAGCAAGAAAAAATTGGAAGGTACTATCTTTTATGTATGACTAACTTAATAGCAGCCAACAAATGTTTTATAGCACAAAATGCTTTCACACACCGTCTAGCATTTCTTTTTTTGACACAATACTCCCGATACATATACAGCAACGTTGTGCGCTAATGTGACGCATACAGTTTCACCAGGTGGGATCCAGCCACACGGCGATCAAATACCCGTTTATGTCGGATTTACAATCAGACAGATGATAGGCCTTGACGAGCGACGGTAGCTAATCACTGTCAAGGTCACTTCCCGAAGGTCATTTGTTTTCTCGGGATATTCGCCTCCGTTTCGCTTGTTCCGCCGTCTCCGCTGTTACTAAAACAATGTTTGCCCGCTGTACGAAATGTTTTCAATTAAAATAGTATGCAAAACATACAATTAACATCTATAATCATTATCTTTCATTAATATTTGATGTAAATTCTATTATATTTGATATATCATGCTAAAAATTGTGGGAAAGAAAGACAAAAACAGCATAGAATTAAAAAAAATTCTGTAATTCAAGTAATAAATTATATATATATATATATTTAATAATTATATATATATAAGTATATATGTAAGTATGTATGCATGCATGCATGCATATGTGTGCGTGTGTGTGTAAAACATTTTCTTAGAATATAAACAACATGCTTATTGAGGGATAATGAATTGACACTTGCAAATCTCTAAAAATCGAGTATGATTGACTGTGCCTTTTATAGATGAGCTATTTTTAAATAAATTGGTTACATACCAGCACCACTACGAGTTTTCCTTCTGTTAATATCGTCTGAGGTTCTGGACGCACCCCTAGTATTGCTTGCTGGTGTAGCTAGTGGTGAAGCTGTATTCTGCCGTACAGATCTTCTTGTTGTTACTTCGCCCACAGACTCGTTGCTAGATACAGAAGTGCCTCGTAACCTCTCCTTCCCGACAGTAGCTGCCACCGTCGCCGCCACCGCAGCCGTCATCGTCGTCGTCGTCGTCATAGTCGTCATCGTCGTCGTCGTTGTTGTCGTCATTGTAGTCACCGTAATCATTGTCGTCGTCGTTGCCGTCGTCGTAGCCATAACCGTACTCGGCTGCTTGGTAGTTAACAAACGGCTCTCTCTTTGCACTCTATTATTGGCATTGAAATTTAATATATTACTGAAATTAATTTGACTGCCAGAAACAGCTGTAGCTTAAACTCGTTCTAAAGTAACAAAAGCTTATCTTAATAAAATTATAATAAAACTCTCAAATTTCTGAGATTCGTTTTCTTTTTTTAACTTTTATTTTCTGGGCATCATAAAAGAATGCATCAGTGTTGCTTACTTTTGATCTTTAGGCTTTGGGGAAGCAGCGGATGTTTCATCTGACAATCGAACTCTTGCTTTTCCTACAGATTCAATCAATGGTTCGTCATCAGACGAATCTACTTCTACCACAATGGGACCTAAAAATATAAAAAAAATGCTTATGTCACATAAAGTCTGGCCCAAGTATTATAAATCAGACAAGTACAAGAGATAGATGAATTTATAGAATTAGAAGTATACACTAAAATAAAATTGAGAGGTAACTGTATGTCAAATATTGCAGTATTCAATATTTTTCAGTCTCATTTCAGCAAATCACTAATTTGAATCACTACATTTGTGCATAGTTGATTTAACACAGTTTCCATTATTATAAGCTTATATTCTCTTTCTCTTTCACGATAGTATAATAATTCTCAATATCAATAAATTTTTTTATATGTTGTAATAATTTGCATATAAACAGTCCTGTTTTTGGCAGTCCTTAATTTGTTATATTATAAAATCTATACAGATCTAAAATCATTACATATATAATATATACAGGGTGTCCACCTACCACATTGGCTGATAATGAGAAATTCCTTAGTGAATTCGAGATTTCCTTAGCGAAAATTTCATGAAAGACTATCTCATTTGCTATAATATTTTAATATATATATATATATATATATATATGTATGTATGTATGTATGTATGTATTTCACGCGGAAAGGATGAATTTGTAATGTTTAAATCTTTGTAAAATTAGACAGTTATTCCATAAAATTTTCGCTATAAAAAAGAATTTTCATGCAACTTCAAGTTTGTATAAAAATCGATCATTAATACTTAATGCGCTAATAGCTAAACAGTCTGTATATGTAGAAAGATATAAGTGGATAAAAAAAGAAAAAGATAATTCAGATAAAAAAATTTTTGTAAAAAAGAACTCAACACTATTATCTACACACAGAGAAATAGTAGCATAAGAAATAAATAAACACCTTTCTTAGCCTTTGTCAATATGTTGAACCCCTTCTTTGATTGCTCTTCCTTGCCAGGCACTTGTTTCTTTATAGAACCAGCCTCTTCTACACCCATGCAAGCTTTAATAAGTTCTGCCGCATTCTCTGAGCATTTCCGTTTACCTGGTCTTGGCTGTGGATCGTCAGCTGTGCTCGATGCAACGGAACTCTCGCTCTCTTGTCTTTTCCGTTTCCCTATTTTTATTGTCGCGTTAGGAGACAGTTTCGATACCGCCAGTTTCGGACTTGCTTTCGCGTAGGGTGATATACTACGGCGTTCCTCTAATTTATTAGGACCGTGGGGGCTGCTTTTCGGAGTTTTCGCGATATCCGGGCTGTTCAACTTTTGCGACCTGGTTCTCAATGACCTCTTCTCATTGTTGTCATTCGGAATATCTATTAGAAGCTGCTCCAGCAACGACTTGGGCGGTCTTTTGATATACTCCTCTGAATTGTTGGAGTTTAGCCTCTCCACAAAATGTCCCTCATCGTTATCCTCTATACATATGATATCCTGTCGTCCCTCGAGTTCTTGCTTCCTCCTGCGTTTACGCTTGAGGTGTTCCACATCGCTGGAATCTACCTCAGGATTCTGAGCTGCTGGGCTCGGAGTTTCGTCCCGTTGCAGAACCACAGGATTGGAGTAGGTGTACAATGGTGGTGTAATTCTGATAGGCTGCGGATCTTCGCCGAGAGGCGACTGGATACCACCTACACTCAGATCGCTCGAATCATTAACCATCTTTTTAACTAAATCGTCCGTGACTTTTTGAAGATTTACAGAAGGCTCTCTGAGCATGATCTGACTCTGGTGACTTTGTACATTACATTTCTGATTTTGTTCGGTGCACGTTTCTAACTTGACGGACTTTGTATTCAGTGAAATGTTACTATTTTTTGAAACCTCGAACCGATCGGTTTGCCTGGTATCATCCACTTTTACGTTAATTTTAGATTCGACTTTGATTTCTAGATTGCAACTCTCACTGTTCGAGCAAGAATTATCCGTCGCTGCGTTAGTATTGTTCGCGAGCACACTATCGAGTTTTATCGTGTCAATTTTACTATAAGCAACGTGATTTTGTATTATAGGCACATTATTATTATTATTATTATTATTATTATTATTATTATTATTATTATTATTAGTATTATTATTATTATTATTCTGTCCGTGAGGTTCATCGCTTAATCTAATTGCACTGTTACTTTCTACAATCGCTTTCGTACTGTCTTCAGATACGCTTTCCGCAGCTCTCGATTCTTCATGCTTAGAGTTTGCCTTACCCTGATCATTTTGGTTAACAGTACTCTCTAATTTAACACTAGAACTATCCTTATCGGAGAAATCCTTTGCTTGTTGATGCGCACATTGCAATAAGTTATTATCACTATTCATACTGCTGGTTATGGATGCTGTCACAACAGTCATTGTTCCCGTCACTAAAGGACTGGACACACTTTTGTCATTATTTGCTGTGTCTAAACTAGCAATCAAATCACTATGTCCAGTTCTCGAAATTGTCGATGATTTTTCACTAGACACATTCTTTGTATCATGCTCACTGGAGTTTGATATATTGCGATTCAACTGGTTTTCAAGATAACTTGCTACAGACACAGGACTTAACCTTTGCGGGCCACTGGACTTGAGAAGTTCCGAATGGGAATTTGAACACATATCACTACTACTAGTTGAGGAAGGCACGTTCTTATTGGTGGTTGATAAGGTGGGTTCCCCCTGTATTACATTCTTGGCGCTGCTCTGTGTTACTGATTCAGTTGCCGATGCCGGCCTATGCAAAGGTGACTCCCCTTGATTTGGTGATTTTTCCGAAAGAGCATCCATCGACTCGATGCCTGAGTCTTCGCCGCCTCCGCTGCTGCCGACTCTTTCGATATTCGCATCAACACCTATCCCAATAGGTACTGTTGTATTTTCGAGTAATTTTTGCTTGACCTTTGCTTCAGTCACATTTATCTCACCGATAGGCAAAGTCGGCTTATTCGCAGGTGCATCAATGTTCTGAGATCTAGAGACTTGGTCCACCGAATTACCGATTACTGTATTGCCTGTAGTCTTCAATAAACTAATCCTTTGCGATGCGCTATCTATTTTGCTCTCTGTCGCGGGTCTGTCAATTTGTTGTTTTATAACATGGTTTTGAATTGTCTTCTTATGACTAAAACTCAACTGTTCGACTGTTTTATTGTGTCTATTCATAATGGAATTTGCTTCACTCTTGGCAACCACATGATTTTTTAGTTGCTGACTGATATTTTGGCTTTTAACAGTAGCAATATAATTCTCCCTATCAGATTTACACTTGACAGAGAGCATTCTAGCCATAGGCAATTGAGAATTTTTTATCATGGTCTCTGTGTGCACAGGTGTCTTATTCTCAGGGTTGTTAGATGTATTTCTAGAATCGCCCTGCTGCGCCGAATTTGTCGATTTTAAACCAGAATCGCTCTCAAAGGATAGACTGACATTTGCTTTCATACTTGGTATCGTACTTGCAGAACATTCAGAAACTGCCTTTTGATTGTTAAAATGTGTAACTTCTGTATTTGGAGATTCTACAACATATTCAAAAATTAATTATTTCACAGGTACTTTTATACATAAATATATAAATTTTATAACTATTACAACAGAAAAAAAAAAATTTTTACCTCCTAAATGCAGATCTTTTTCATCGATTAAACTTAACCGCCTTCTCTTGTCTTGACTTATTAAGTCTTTCTTTATGCCATTAAGCTCTGTTAATCTGGGAGCAACATTAGTCAGCAAATTACTTTTTTCAAGTGCTGATTTATTAATGTCGCTATCGCTCGTTCTCCGAATTTCGCCAACCTTCTTGACTGTATTAAAATCACTCCCAGTTAAAAGTGAATCTGATTTTCTTATTGATTGGGTTATATCACCCTTATAACCAAGTTTTCTCCATTTTACTTGATTATCTAAAATTCGGCCTCCTGACAGGAGGTTTTGTTCCCGATGTAAACCATCTCCAGATTCTGATTTCTTCTTAGAATCCCTTCTTTTTGTTTTACCTGTAATAAAAACATAAATGCATATAAATTGGAGGAAGAAAAGATACAATTAATAATTATATATAAATTAGTTATATAGATATTTTATAGATTCTTTCTCACCTCCGCCTATTTTATATTCTTGCATGTGATTTTGCACATCAAGATCCACTTGATTCTTTGTTAAAACTTGCGAAGTATTTAAAGACTGATTTACAATCGCAGATTTATGCTTTGAGGGAGATGGTATTCTACTATTCAGCGGTATATCATCTACATCGCTGTTTTTACTCGAACATGGCTTAATAATAGAACTATTTTGTAGTCGTGCGGCATCCACTGGTAGTTCTTGTTTTAAGGCATTGGGTTTGGCCATAGCAGTTTGCAGCATATTACCCATTTTGCAAACGGTATTAGCATTGTTTATCATTGTGGAATTGGACAAAGGTAATTTTGATGCAGATGAAGTGCCTATGATCATGCTCAACGGTGATTTCTTTTGCAGCAACTTGTTACCATCAATACATTCCTTCTTCTTCAATTTACCTCTTCTCTTGATTAAATCACTCTCACCTTCACCCTTCAGAGATTTCTTTTCTTTTTTCCTTTGTACTACTGAAGCGTTACGTCCTCTTAAAGAAATGTGTAACGGAGGCACTCGGAGTGGTTCGTCACCGTTCCCTGTACTTGGAACACCACTTGTGAAAATTTTATTCACAGATTTATCAGCTTTTCGCATGGGCGGCGTATTCACAAAAGAAACGTCAACTTTGTAAGCCGGTGTAACGGGCTCGGATTTTTCCAATTTCAATCTTAGTTTGATTTTCTCTCCCGGCATCGGACTATGCGCGGTCTCTCTGCTAGATTTTATTCTGCTATGCTTTAAACTTCCTTCGCTGGCCGTGGACTTGGCCGTTGTCTCGGAATCAGATTGATCCGTATTTGTCGTCGTGTCGTTTCTTCTTGAGAAATTGCTGTCTGCGTCGTCGTCGGAAAATATAGAGTTTGATCTGTCGTTTGACGGAGATGGAAAAGAGAAGAAGTCGTCCTGATTATCTACTGCACTCTCTGGCTCCGAATCTGAACTTTCACTGGGCATCGGTTCCAAGTGTCCTGTTAAAGGATTGATTAGAAATTGTCGTATTTTTCCGGTTGAAGTGTACTCCGGCTCTGGCTCCGGACCCTCTTCTTCCGGTTTCGAAGACTCGGAAGTTTCCGTTTTAGTAACGGACGACGAAGCAATGCTAGTATTAGAGTTATTTATATGAGACCCACATTGAGGGAAGGCACCTGAAACTTGATTCGAGACTGACACACGTGTGGTATTGACTTGAGCACCTTGCGGAATAGAATTGCTCTGTGCATTCCATGTGGTCCCATTAGCATTGCTCGTTGAGGGAGATTGATAATTTCTACTAAGGATATTTTGGCTCTGTCCATAACGAAAATCAGTACTCGCGCTAGTGTTAATATTCATGTTCTTCACTTGATTGTGATGCAGTTGTTGTTGTACATTGAGAGCCTGATTTTGTTGATTTAAATGCGTTTGCTGCGGGACCGGTTGCCTCGGATAGGGCGACGGAGTTTGTTGACGTTGACTGTTTAAGTAACCTAGCCGTTGTTGCGGGACGCTTATGCCTACTGTCGAATGTTGTAGCAATTGTTGTTGATTTTGTTGTAATAATGACTGATTGTTAAGAGATGTGGTTTGCAACGACGTATTTATATTTTGCTGATGAAGTAGAGCTTGCTGCGTCGTCGAGATTTGTGGGACAATTTGTTGATTTATTTGTTGTTGTTGCTGCGTAAGAAGCTGTTGCTGTTGTTGGAGTAATAATTGGCGTTGTTGCAAAGGTGTTCTAATTTGTTGTCCATTTACCGGGTGCCTGGCAGAAAGTTGATTCTGCATTTGCATCTGTGAATTCCTGTAAGCCAATTCTTGCCTAATGTTGGGAAACTTTTGCTGAGTTTGTACTTGATTGTGTAAAGTCGATGTAGCTTGCTGCTGCATCTGTCCACCAGACGGCACTTGATGTACCGTTTGGGGCGGCATCATGTTTTGTCCGGTGCTACTGCCGATTACATTGACCGTATGTTGCTGCTGTGGAAGCGACGACGGTTGATTAGCATTGACAGTCGCAAATGCCGATGATGTAGAAGTATGGGATAAGTCAGGAATAACTGTCGTCGTCGTTGTCGTTGCCGTCCCTCCAATCAAGTCTTCGCTTCTCAAAGTGTCCAAATTCGGTGGTGACTCGTTGGGCGACGGGAGATCTTTCCTTCTAACTGTAGGCTTCTTGGTGGGTCTCATACGATTAGTAAGTCCAGAATTGTCCATAACAGCCGGTGGTAACATTTTCTGACCAGGTACGACATTATTTGCATGTGAACCAGCATCATTTTGTAAAAGATTTACGAGTAATGGACTGGACAGGGCGACCTGATTTCCGCTACCGTTCGAACTCCCTGCCAAATTGGTACTGTTTGGTGACAGACTAGATGTTGTAGCAATCGTCGTGGGCTTGAATTGATTCGTTAATTGTCCAACGGTAACGACCGGTTGAGTGGTCGTATGACCGGTCGTTAGTGCCGTAACCGTCGCCAAATTTTCTTGAGATGGATAGGGGGGCGGCGGTTGCGCATGGTGCTTGAATTGCATCGTATTCTTAATTGTTGTATTCTGCGATTCGCGATTGTGTATTGCTTGAGCAGCATGCGTCATACTGGCAAATGGGAAAGGACCGTTGTAGTTGTTCCTAGGCGATGCATTAGAATTAGCTACTTGCTGGTTTCCAGAAACGCCAACATTGCTCGTTGACGTGGATTGGACTGATTTCGCAAGAAACGGTGGAATAGGATCACAGTCAGTGGGTGCAACTACATTTGGAGAACGAAATTGTGGAACTTTCTCCGACGATGTTCCTGAAAGAAACAAAAATTTACATATGTACAACTCGACTCATTGTATATGTATATATTATATATTTTGTTTTCAGTAATTTGTTTTACAATTTATAAGAGCTTACCAGCTGCTATTATCTGAGCAACATTGCATAGTGCTGACGAAATGCTGGTGGAATTACTGGGACCAGGCAAAGCTGTTGAAGGATTAGCGTCAACAGTAGCTGTATTATTAGTAACATCGCCTTGCGATTTTGCTCCGCCATCTTGCGTAGTTCCAGAATGCAGCACAATTTCTTGTGCATCTCCGCCAAAGCGACTGGCTATCCTCAAAGATATTACCTATAGAAGAATATAATAATACATATGTGTATGTAAGTAATACTTCTCCCAATTATTTTGAATTATAGATCATAAAAATTCATAAAAAATATTATGATAGTATAAGAATATATTGTAAAAAGAATATATAATCAGATATTTATTACATAAATTACCTGATCTCCTTCGACCTGCACTGAAAGTATGCCAAGTTGTGTAAGGGTTGGAGAGCCCTGAGCTGCTAACTCTCGAAGTCGCAGAGCAGCTTCTCTGGGTATTGAAAACGTTACTCTGACAGAATTCCATGGTTCTACTTTATTTACTCTCAGCCCATCTCCTTTTTCTGTAAATTGTAAAAAATTGTAAAATACATAAAATAAACATAATCAGCTTATTAATATTATATTATTTAAATAGAGAATACATTATTAATACGCATTATCTTGTTTAGATTATCAAACTTTATATCGATTGGTTTACCTTTGCAAAGCAAAGCGTTAAGACGGTCGACAATAATTTCGAACTTTTGAGGAAACTCTGGATCCGCAAGATCACCTTCGCACGTTACCACCGTCTCAATAAGATCACCATCACTATCTGCCGCCATGACTGTAATATTCATTATTGATATTATATCTTCTTAATAATAATAAACTTAGCTTTATATGGTAGAAAATATAATAGTAAATGTAAAATATATTAAATACATACTAAAAAAAAAAAATTATTTTTTATTTTTGCCATGTTTTAAAATGATGAAGTAATAGTGATGGCAATACTAATGTAATATTTGTGATTGATATTAATAATAATACAAAAATGTAATTATATATAGTTTAAAAAAATTATAAGAAAATGTATCATATAAAAAGAAATCATAAACAAAATTAAATAAGAATTAAACTTAAGAAATGTTCATTTTTCTCCTCTCTTTTTTTCTGCTCCCCCACCCTTCTCTGTCTGTCTACCTGTCTCTTTCTTGTCACTCCCTTTCTCTATTTCTTATATCATAAAAGTGTATTTTTTTAATCAATATCATCAAAAAGTAATTTGACAGATAAATTTAATTATTCAAAATCATAGAACTTAACAGTTTCAATTCTAAAATCTACTCAATAATGTTCAATAAAATGATAATCAACTATAATAATCATAATAATCCCTTACTCTCGAGTTTATCACAAAAACATGATTTGTATAAAAATCATATTTATATATAATAAAATATACGTACCAATCACAAATCACATAACTACCCAGAGAGTTTCAAAACGCCTCAGGGTGTTGCTCCAATATGTGTGTGTGTGTGTGATGATGAGATGTCGTGTATCAGTTGTACACCGACAGCCCCAAATCACACCAATACTACTAATCTTGTTTACTGCCAAACAGATGAAAAATTGAAATAATTCAACTATATAGAAAACAAACATTATTAAAATAAGTTCTTGTGTAATATTACATATTAATGTATATAAATAAAATAATATTGTTCCTGATATATACACATGTATGTTAGCAAAATATAATGTTAGAATTTGCAATATAATAATTGATATATAAAATATATCAATTAAACATTTTTTTTAGTCTCTCTAAAGCCTCTAAAATAGTGATATGTGTGTGTATTTAAATGTATCATGTATCTATAATAAAATAATGTACAAGATTATAAGAACAATAAGTTTGCATTATATTTCAGAAATATTTTAAAAGCCCAGAATTTTAATTGAATAAATGTAAATATTACAAATAAATACAATATACATATAAATTAAAGTTGATACAAATTTTCCAAACTTGCTTTTGCAATTAGTATTTAGACAATGAATACTAAAACATGATAACAAGAAAAAGAAGAAAAGAAAATAATAGGATCAATCTTATACATACCATATAATTATATATTGACATAATTCTCTTTAGCATATTATATGCCAATAATAATATAAAATATGACACACACATATGCACACATCTCTTCAAGAAGAATATTATAGTTTTTATAATAATATACTTAATATTTTGTATTCGTGCATGCATGTTAAAATTTTACAAAATATACAGTGAATAAAATTCTTATTAAGCGCAAAAAAAAAAAAAAGAAAAAAAGTTTTCAAGACAGAATTCATCCATATTATGTAGAGATAAAAATGTTTAATGACAATGATACAAAAAGAGAGTATTTTCGAGGAAAGATACCTATTATTTACTATACAATCGATAAAGCTGATGGTGCGAAAACGACAAGAAAATGACAAAAACATGGGCGCATAAACAAAAAGTGAGGCCCACTGAGCGTTACTAGGTTATAATTTGTGCGCGATTTCCGGGAAACCCCCGAACGATTTCTATCGAAGAATCCTGGACGCCGGTGGAGTCTCTCGAGGATATTTTGCCGATCGTACGCGCGTATGTAACCGCGAAACGATCCCGGACAGGCCGTTTCACCGTCCGCGAACGGCAATTAAAATCCACGGGTGCACAAGCGGCCGCGGGGGCACCCGTGCGCGCTTTAGCAACGTTAGGAAATAGGTTATAGATCGCATTTTTTTAGCTGGGCGCGAAACGCGGACGTGCGTGTCGACGTGGGTCGACGGTTTCGTAGCGCGAGACGGCCATCCCGGCGAGCAACGTAATGATTTTCGTCGAAATAAGGCATCCAGACCATCAGATATCGGGGGGGGCCCACCATTTTGTCCGTCGGAGGAGGTGTACGTGAAGTGGGCTCAAGCATGCTCAAAGATAGACACCGCGAAAAGTCGGAATTATTTTTATTCCCGAGCCGCATCCGTTACACACGGCGCGTATACACACTAACTTAACGTAATCGTGTGGATCCGCGGCGGCCAACGGGCTCGGCTAAGCGGACCTCACTTCAGCCGTCGCGCACAGCGCCGATTTGATACCGTATGAACACAGGAAAATTTCAACGTTACCCCATTTCTTTCCGACACTGTGCGGGATTTCACGCGTCCGTACAACACGGAGGCACACCGCCCGGCCACTGATCTTAATCGGAAACACACCGCGCGGCCCTTATTTCACTCTCAGCACACAGCGCGCGGCAGGGATCGCGAAAAAACTCGACATAATCGCTAATATAAAGAGACAAGTCATAAAACGCCATGAACAATAACAAGGTGCCGCCATTTGCAATGCGTACAACTGACATGCGCAAATCAATCGCGCGGGGCACGCTGGGTATTTTACGAAGCGCGCCATCTTGCCCGATCCCCAATCGCTTTATACATATACGTGATATACGTCCCCTAACCTCGAAACGCTTTCAATTCTTCCTTATTGCTTATTGCGTCTCGATGATATTGTCACCAAAACTTTCTTGTAAATGCAAAGTATCATCGAGACCAGCTTAATAATGTCAATTTTCGTCAAAATATACAGATAATTGCGCTTACTATGCTTAGCTATATCACATCATTTTTATATATATATATATA